AACGACTGGCTTTCGCACTTGGCCTGCAGCCCTACACCTGGCAGATTATCTGATAAACGGACACAACGATGCTCTTGACTCTACGACCGGCATTTTTGTCAAGGCAGCCAAATACTGGAAGGAAGTCATTGAGCTTGGAGCGGGATCAGGTCTACTGGGAATCTCCCTTCTGAAATCAAACTTTTTTCAAGATCAAAAGCAATATTTTTACGAGTTTACTGATCACAGCAATTCAGTTTTAGAACGAATTGAACTCAACCTCTTTGCCAATGGCGTCCTTAAACAATCGGAAACTACGCAAACCAAAGTGAGCAAACTTGATTGGTGCGACTCAACTTTAGAAACGTCCAAAAGCAAATACGATCTCATTCTTGCCACTGATGTGGTTTTTGATCCGGCACTAGTTGATGATCTCGTGAAAACGCTAAAACGACTTATGCAGCTCAATAAGCAAGAAGACAATGTTCACTGCCGAACTGACTGCTTGATCTGCTGTGCCGAGCGCAATACTTCTCTGTTGGATTATTTTCAAAAACGACTGAAACATTTTGGTTTTTCAGTTGAAACAGTCAGCACACGAAAGCATCCTGCTTGGGTGCACAATGTGAACAGCAGTTTGAAACAGCTTCAAAATGATTTCACTGAAAATGTGAGCACTCCAATGAGCACACTGGACGCAGACAGCGTGGGCACTCGTATTTACTCTGTCAAATTGAATGAATAAGTAATGGAAAAAGATGATTGTAAACATTTAAAGTTTTACCTTTTAAAATTGTGATTTTGTGTATTTACGAGTTTACGCCAAATAAACTGCCTAAACGAATTTGATGTAATGCTGAATACTACCAGTAGCTGGGATGTTAATATTTGCATTCTTTTGTTTGCCAACAACTACTCTTCTAAAAGCAAACTGAAAAAGGCTGAATTCTTCGCCTCTGCCACTGTTGTCCCCTTTTGCTTCACTTTGTCCAGGCGGATGCCACATTCATCGGTCATTGGCATTTGCCGCTGGTTAATTGACCTGTCTGCCTCCCTGACTCACTGACTCACTGAATCACTAACTGCTGCAGCAGCAGTCTTTACCTGTGGATGCACCTCGCTACAATGGCTGCACTCGGTGCACCATATTTCCGACTGTCATCTTTTCTCCCCGTCAGCCTGTTCACTGCTGCACACTATGAATACACTGCAGAGGCTGGCTTGCACATAACCCGGCAAATTGATTACCACCACCACCACCACCGGAATGAATTCAGCCAACTGTCAACACACACAGCCAGCTTTGTGCACTGATTTTGTCCTGTCATTGTCGGTGTTCTGTGTTACACATCCAATTGACCCACTTGAATGGGCCCGGTCGGTTGGTCGGTCGGTCGGTGTGATGCCACTGACCGCGCATGATGACACTGCGTTTTCTTCACTTCTAATGTGTGATTCAGTCGGTGTGTGTGCCTGCCCACTAATGGCCAGAACAATATGTCTCCAGTGGTGAGCATTGCACAAACACACACACACACACACACTGCCAATTAAGCATCGCACATCGACACTTTTTATTTATAAACTGTCAATTGCCAATTGTTTTGTTTTGCTTTGCTTCTGTTTTGCCGGTTTTCTAAAGAAAGCCAAGAAAAACTGCTTTCCTCTTTTTAGATCGGTCAGTGTGTGTGTGTGTTTTACTTTCCAACTTGATAACTGTTCTCTGAGCAGACTTTCTCTCTCTCTCTCTCTCTCTCTCTCTCTCTCTCTCTCTCTCTCNCTCTCTCTCTCTCTCTCTCGCTTTGCCGGACAGTTCTGACCGATTGGCCTCGGTATATAAACGTCCGGTGTCACCTGTACACTGGGTCACTTTGCAAGTTATTGTTATTCCTCTGTTGTTGATCTTTGCTCCTACTACCTTCACTACTACTTCATTTCAGTTGTCAGTTAGCACTTTTTGGGCAGCTCCAACGACACCCTTGCAAAAAATGTACATCTTTGCGGTATCTTCGCTGCTGTTCTTGCTTCACCTTTCACCACTGGTCACCTGCCAACCAGATCATCCTGGTTTCCTCAATGCGGCGGCATCATCTCGATCCTTCATCTTCCCCTCCTCCTCCTCCTCCTCTCCCTCTTCCTCAGCACTTCATTCTAGTCCAGCTGAATCTGGAAATCCTTTCCTGAGCCCTTTCTCCGGAGCTCCGTACTCTGACCGCCGAGACGGCCTGCTGGTCTCCTCGGCGCTGGCCAACAGCCTCTTCTCTCCACACGCCGCCGCCTACGCCGATGAGACACCAGCCTTTCCCATGGCGCCGCCGATGATGCCGATGCCGCTGATGGGCTCTCGCAGCGGCCCCTTTTCTCCATTGGCTCCGGTCGCGCCCTTCGGCGGTGTTCCGCCCATGGCGCCCTTCATGGGCGCTCCAGGCGTCGGCCCATCCGCCGCCGCCGCCGATCCCTCCTTCCTCTATGGCGCCCCGGGCGTTGGTGGTGGTTTTCCGCCGGTGCTGCCCTCACTGCTCAGCCTCTTCTCCCCGACTGAGTCAGCCCCTGGCTTCAACCCCTACATGTCATATGCGCCCTCCTACTCAGCCCTTTCCTCGCTGTTGCCACTTCTTTCCTACCTGCCGCGAATGGCAAGTCCCTTTGGTGGGCTGATGGGCGGGCCAATGGGCGGCGGGCCAATGGGCGGAATGATGGGCGGGCCGATGGGCGGAATGATGGGTGGCCCAATGGGAGGAATGATGGGCGGACCGATGGGCGGAATGATGGGTCAAGGTAAGAAACAGTCTAGTTTTAGAAGTGCTTCAATGTTGCAATGAAATGTCAAAACAATTAAGAAATCCCAAGTACTATTTCTTAAAATTTCTTAATATTGACATGCTCATTGCTGTGTTTATTGCATGTGCTTTAAAATGTTTAAAATATCAGCCAAAAGCGCGTAGTGAACCACCAACGCAGTCACTACGTGCTAGGCTGCCTCTCTCCCTTTTTCAATTAATAATGTAACCTTTCAGGCTACGGGTCGCCAAAGATTGAAATCGGCCAGAAGTTGTCCAACTCAATATACGCAAACAGTAAGTAGTAGGCAGACAAACAAACATCCCCCACTTCACAGTGTTCAGTACCCAACCGACTAAATGTTCAGCTTTTGACGATCTAGGCGACAACCTCCGTTACGACCTCTCCTCCTTCAAGGACAGCTCCTACTCGCCCAGCTCATCCTCCTCCTCTCCATCTTCCTCCTCTTCCTCTTCCTCATCCACTCGTTACCCTTCCTCCTACTCCTCGCAGACAAACAGCCTCCAATCTCAGCCAGGCTCTTCCTCTTCCTACAGCTCTTCCAGCCCTCATTCCTCCTCGCCCTCTTCGTCGTACCAGTCGGACTATGCACTCGCCTCCAATGGCTACCGTCAGTACTTGAATCAGCAGCAAAATCTGCTCTCCAACCCTACCCTGTACAATCGCATCTCCCAGTACATGCCCTACATGGCACCGGCCATGAGCTCCGCCTCAGGCAGGTTTTAATGCTCTCTCTTTACACAAAGCAGTGATCATTATTAGAATTAAAACAGTTCCATTTCACCTACAGGTAACTCTCGATCAACTGACTCGCTGTATTCGAAGCCATCTGATTTTTACAAGTCACCAGTCAGCTCTGCATCATCCGCTTCGTCTCTTGCCTCCTCGCTGTCTGCAGCACCCAGCAGTGGTCCATCACTTGAAGCTCTTTCTGGGCAAAAAGTTTCTAAAGCAACTGGCGGCAGCAAAGAAGAGCTGGGCTTCTTCAAGCGTTCAGACGGTGCTGCTGAAGGCAGCGCTAAAACGACTCCTTGAGGCGCTAACTTACTTCTACTTCTAATTCATACTCTATCACTTGTTTTCTTTTGTTTGCTTTCCTTTCATCTATTCATTCTATCATTCACTAATGTGACTGGCACACATTACTTCAAACTTTGACAATTAAATCAAGTAATCAACTGTGACGTTTACCATTTTACAAACAAATAAAGTACATTTTAAAAATACAACAAATTGTTAATTTTGTTGTTTTGAATGTTTATTAAAAAAAATTTATGATACTTTTATTTACAATGTTGATGTGTTTTGATGTACTTTTTTGTACGAGTAACTAGAGTTTTTTAATGAAATACTGTAGGGAGTATAGTGACCGTAGTTGCGCGGTTTTTCTCTTCGTTGGTCAGTTTGAGCAAGTGTTGTTATTTGTATTAACAAAAACAAAAACACACATAAAAATATTATACAAGTAACATGTTTCATCTTTATTAAAATCATTTTTTCAAGTTTATTTAAAAATGTTTTTACTTTTTTAAAATGCAGTCAAAAATTACATTTTGGAATTGCATTTATATAAAATAGCAACACGACATTTTGTTTTGCATTTGTAAAAACAATTACATGCACGCACATTTAGCATTACACACAATTTATTAATGAAATTAAATTTTTTTAAAAAAGTTTTTTAATATTTTATGAATGTCAATAAAATCAATCATTGTTCAACTGCAAAAAAAATAAAACAATTTGTTATAAAAATGATATATATTTTTATCAAACAAACTCATGTTTAGTATAGTTGTTTTAAAATATTGTAAAAAAATATTTTTTTAAACGTATTTAAAATGGTAGTTTTTAATATTTTTTTATATTAAACAAACTGTGTTTATCTACATTTAATAGCTAATTTCCGTTTTACATTTGGAAACTAAATGTTTATCTTGCACCCTATGTTGAAATGTTTATAAAACGCTTCAAACAACTGTTGTCCAATTTGCATCATAGTATATTTCTGACCAGTTCTTTCTGTTTAATCATAAACAAAAAAGTTTTGGTATTGTACATGCATGCAGGCATGCGTACCCTAGTAGCCTCTATTAAAAAGCAAGTTAATGCGGAAGATACATAAAAGCAACTGCAAAAAAATTACGATAACAAATATAAATTAAACCAAAATAAAAAAAATATTAGTTGCACGTTAGTGCAATTAATGAAGTGAGGGAAAATCAAAATAATACTTTTTTAGCATTTGCTGAAGTCAACCGTTATCATGACAGTGTTACAAAAAAACCATCTGTAAGATTGTGCAAAAATGTTTGCAATTGTGTGTCTGCTTGTGTGTGTTCTTATCAAGCGCATCAAATAGTTAAAGCAAATGAGCCGCATCTTTGCAGTGATATTTAGACTTGCAATATGGGCGACTTTAATTTTGTCTATTTTGAAAACTGTTTCACTCAAAAACAGTTTTGTTTTGATTAGATTATGTACTGTTAAGCTTGTCGACAAGCAGAAGCTTTTTCCAATTAGTTTAGCGTGTTAGTTTACAAAATTAGACTTTATAAACAGTTGATGAGTGAATATAAACAGAAAAAAGATGTTGATATTGCCTATTTGAAATTTTTTCACACAATTCATTTCTCATTTGCATCTTTAACCTTAATTGTCAAAAATGTCTAGATAGAAACCAATTTTAATATTTTAAAGTTTTTTGTTTTTACCTTTTACAACATATTAAGTTGTAATAGTTTTTGTAGTAACTGTAACAATTTTTAAATTTTTAAAATGAATTTAGTTTGCAGTATTATTGTTATTTTGTTAACTGGTCAACTGTTTTTAAATACTTGTGTCAATGCTGCCAATTATGATGAAGAAATTGAATTTGTAGATCTAGGTAAGTAATGTAATCGTTATTTTGTCGCAATAACCAAGTTGTTTGTAATAAAAAAACATTCAAACATGATAAAATTGTTTACTTTTTATTCTAAACAGAAAAAAATTATCAAAAACAGTACGCTGAATGCTGCGAAAGCGGGAAGAAACAGGCAACTACTAAAGGCTACTGCTCGGGCAGCAACCAGATCACCGAGTGCAAGTCCCTCTCTGAGTTGTGCTGCCTAGAGCAGCTGTCACTGCGAGAATGCCAGGCCGGCGTGAAGTTTGTGACCAGGACGCGGAGCAAAAACATTGGCCGCACCGAGGACATTGACTGCATCCGCCTGAACAGCTACCGAGAGAGCTTTGAGTACCGATGCTGCAGCGCCTGCCGAATGGGCTTCATGGCGGCGGACAGTCGGCTGGGCGGAAAACGACAGTGGTGCTCCAGCGAGTGGATCCAAACAGCCGTGCAAAATCTGTCCACCTTTTCCTCCCTGGTCAGCACGCACATTGAAACCGCCTATGTGCAGTGCTGCAACCACGGCATGACACTGAACGCTGATCACCTGCAAAGTGGTAGGTGGTGTTTGTTTGCGAAAGCGTTCAGTGCTTTTTATTGTTTCAAAACTAACCACCAAGTTCACTTTAGATGGCAAAAGAACTGACAGACAGGTCGGCCACCACCTGGTTTCATCGTCAGCAGCAAACTCCAACACCACCTGCAAAAACGGCTACGAGTTCAGCAAACGGGCCGGTGGCCAGTGCGTGGACATTGACGAGTGCGCCACTGCTAGTAAAAATGACTGCCACGAGAAAAACCTATTTTGTGTGAACAGCCCCGGTTCGTACAGCTGTTCTCGTTGCAAGTCGGGTTTCAGCTTTGACGAGCAGCTGGCCGTCTGCCGAGACGTGAACGAGTGCGATCAGCAGCCGTATCCCTGCAAGGCCGGCCAGTCCTGTCGAAACCTGGTGGGCAGCTTCCGGTGCTCTTGTCAGGTACAGGCGGGGTTGATTTTTGTTGTACAGTTGATAAGTTTTCACAAAACACCCTTTTTAGGTGGGCTACGAAATGGACCGGGGCGGGTACTGCGTGGACGTGAACGAGTGCCAGCTGGGCACGCACAACTGCCACGAGTCGCTGCGCTGCGACAACACCATTGGCAGCTTTCACTGCGTCAGGGTGCAGGACTGCGGCACCGGGTACACCATCAACGCCGACCAGGACGTCTGCGAGGACGTGGACGAGTGCGTCCTGGGCACGCACGACTGCCTCCTGCCCGGCTACCGGTGCCGCAACACACAGGGCTCATTCAAGTGCGAGCTGGTCGGCTGTCCGCAGGGGCTGGCCCTGAACGCCACCAGTGAAAGCTGTGTGCAGGCTGGGGGGCTGTGCCCCACCGGGCAGCGGTACAATGGAACTCTGGGGCGGTGCCTCTCTCACGACCCCTGTCTTTCCGGTCCGTGTAAGCTTTCGGAGCAGTGCATTTCACTGCCAGAAAACGCTGAAACTGGTTACGAGTGTGGCCCACTCTGTCCACCGGGTTACCACTACAACGCCACTAGTAAGTCTGATTGCCACTTTGATGATAAACCTTAAAGTGTTAGGGCTTAACCAATACTAACTTTGTATTGCTGTTGCAGGCAAAAGCTGCACCGACGTGGACGAATGCGCCACTGGGCAGTTTGAATGTGGCCCCCACCAGGATTGCGTCAACCTGGCCGGGCACTACGATTGCGCCTGTCTTCCGGGCTTTCAGATGGACTCCAGCCGCGCTTGTGTGGACGTGAATGAGTGCACGGCGGAGTGGTGGCTTTGCCAACACCCGCACAAGTGCACCAACACCGTTGGCTCCTTCAGCTGTGCTGAGTGTCATCCGGGCTTCACTTACAACCAGCTCACCGGACAGTGTGATGATGTGGATGAATGCTCTAATACTGCCTATTCTTCAACCTGTGAGCAGGTTTGCGTCAACACGCCGGGCTCTTATCAGTGCGGCTGTCGGCAGGGTTATCGTCTGGCAGCGGACGGAAAGTCCTGCCTGGATGTGGATGAGTGTGAGCTGATGAAGAGTGAAAAGTACCTAAGTTTGCCAGCGAGCGAGATGAACACCGTCGTTGATGTGGCCAAAATCAAAGCTTGCAAGAGAGCTTGCTTCAACACAGTGGGCAGTTTTGAGTGCAAGTGCCCAAGTGGATTTAGAAGCTACCGAGAGCGATGCTACGGTATGTTTACCAGCTCAAAAATGACAATTTTTTTTATTGGATATTATTAACATACTTGAAATTGCTTTTACAGACATCAACGAGTGCATTGAAAACACTCGACTTTGTTCGAGTGTTGACGAAAGCATTTGCGTCAACACTTTTGGTGGATTTGAGTGCCAGGTTATTCAGTGTCCGCCTGGGTACAACAAAACTACAACAAACAAGAGGTTAGTTTTAGTACATTTTAATGCAATATTAACTTTAATTTTGCTCGTTGTTTGTAGTGTCCAGTGTTTGTATGATGAGAAGCTTCC